ATATACACTATATATATATATATATATATATATATATATAAGCGCCTCGAGGTTGTGTCAACGTGAGGCGCTAAATAAATCCTGAATTATTATTATTATTATTATTATATGTGTGTGTGTGTGTGTGTGTGTATATACATACAGTATATAACGCTATGCATCAGTGTATACAATTAGCTCATAAAACCAGTGCATCTTTCTAGAAGAGAAATAACATCCGAAAGAACTGAAGCACTGACAGATTGACCAGTATATAAATAATTAGATTACATTATCATAATTAATTATTAGATTGACCACCATTAATTGTAGTCAGTAGACTTGGCCACACCATTGAAAAGCCATACATTAGCTCATGTCATCAATACAAATTATGTTTTAATTTGATATTAAGAACTTAGGCATAATTGTAATCGATACTGTGACTTTGACATCCTAATCGTTCTTCCAGAATTGACGCTATTATTAGTGAATTACGCCCACACTTGATTGATTGATTGCAATTAGATATCACTGTGGGATCTATAGTTTCATCCTTTAGCATCCGTCCAGTCACATGCTTTATATATATTTAATGACGAATAATTTTAATTCAAACGAAATTCATGATTTAATTTGATTATTGTCATGATAATCATCGTCTACATAATCATCGTCATTATCATAATGATCGTCATTTTTCAGCATAGTATTATTATTATTATTATTATTATTATTATTATTATTATTATTATTATTATAAATTCAATCATTTAGTAACAATTGTCGTAGTAGTAATTTCTATGGCAATTTATATACCTAATCGGTATCCTGGTGTGTGTGGTAGCTCTTACACAGTAACTTGATTCTCCACTAAGGGTCTCTTCACTGAGCTACCTGGTAAACCGGTGCCAGTTACTCCAGTCTGTCTACAGCATGGGTTGAATGGACCAGTACACCGGGGTAACTCCATACTCATCTCCAATGATTTATGCCTACTGTATTAAAATGTCTTATTAGTGCAATATTTTACAGACTGTGGACATCAAACTAATATAAGCCTACATCAACTTGTCGATGCTTTGTGTGTAGAGTGCTCCATTGAATATTGTTGGTGTTGGACGTTATATTTATAGTTTTGATGGATAGGCCTACAGTTGGGTATAACGAGTGAAGGACTTAACGTGTGGCTACGAAAAAATAGTTTATTAGGAATCAGTAAAAGCATATGTATGCCTAATTCATTCTTTTCCCCCCTATTTATTTGTATATCGAATTCTCCCTAAACAATACAAGCGAGGCATATACATATATATATATATATATACATATATATGTAATATGTGGGTGACCCACACATTATATATATATATAATATATATATACTATATATATAATATATAAGTACTATATATGTATATATATATATGTATAAATGTATATATATATATATGTACATATATGTATATATATATGTCTATATATATATATACCGTATATAATATATATATATATATATCTAACGATATCAAGCTGTTGCTGATTGTTGTTTTTCAGTATGTTTTCAATATATATATATATATATATATATATTTATATATTTATATATATACACATATATAAATATACACACACACATATATATATATATATATATATATATATGATATATATATATATTTTTTTAATGTAGGCCTACATTTTCGAGATACTCTAACAGAGTTATGTTTGGCATGATGCATGCTATTTGCAACTCTTTTTTAACAAGCTTCTGAGAGCGTTCAATTCACATGATATACATTATTCAAATAAACACTTGATTGAAATTCATGACTTATACTATATTATCCATAGGCCTACTTCCCAAACAATTCAAGTGTAGGCTATATGTAGATCTGTGAATTCGTAATTAGGCCTGTTGTTGAATATACGCGCCATAGGCAAGTGATTGAAATTTGTCCAATGAAGTGCACAACTGTAATATAAGGTACATAGATAATACGTGGTTGGAATAATCCATGTTATGTGAAGTATTTGCGTTGCCATAAGGCTAATGATTTCTCTACACAATTGTTGCATATTAATGATATACTGTACCATCTGTCATAATTAAAGGATAACCATAAAATATTCTGTTAAAACACAGCAGCTCATTTGAGGGAATCAATAATGTAATTATATTTAACAAAAAAAAAAAAAAAAAAAAAAAAAAAAAAAACAAAACATATTTGGCAAATGTGGCATTTTGTTGCTATACGGTAGCCTATAATACAAAATTGGTTATTTAGTACAAATTTATAAAGGCAATTCGTGAAACTTACTGAAATGAAACATGCATATATCTTGATTTGACTTAGGGGTGTTACCATCTTGGTAACAGATCAGACACCAAGAGGGTATTTGTATTAAATAACTAATTTTGTATATACATATAGGATATATTTTATAAATAACGAAAATCACTATGCATGCTAGACTAATTTTTGATGTATTTTAATCGTAGGTATTTCTAATGTAAATTATTTTAATAAGTAGTTTTTATATTTTAAGACGATTTTGTACTGTTTTATGGATGTTTTTGTACAGATCCTGATGAAGAGCGTAAGCTCAAAAGCTTGATGATTAAGACACGTTTTATTCCATCCAAGCCTCCGACTATTTCTTTCATCTATATAATATTATAATATATATATATATATATATATATACCATTGATGGTTTATATTATGTATATATATATATACATATATAAATCACCAATGGTACATACAGTGTTTAATAAGGAAATGTTGGAACATCGTAGACTACCCTGTAGCTTTCTAACGAATAAGGTCTTATGAAAAATTATTGTGTAATAGAATGCCTCCGACGGGATTCGAACCTGCGACCTCTCGCTGACAAGGCGAGTGTCATAACCACTAGACCACGAAGGCTTAATGGTTGAACAGGTCCAAATACCCGTCGGGAACATTGTTTTACACAATGCTATGCCTCAAGAGGGCGTTCGGCCAGATAAATCTGGAAATACGGCTAGAAATACTGTCGTATATTATATATGATATTGAAGGAAGTTAGCCGTTAACACTGTTGAATAAATATAATATAGATCATCAATGGTACATATACAGTGTTTATAAGGACATGTTGGAACATCGTAGGCTATCCTGCGCTTTAACGAATAAGGTCCTATGAAACTATCCGTCCATTATCGGACAGTTAAGTAATAATATACTTTGCTGTATTTATTTACAGTAGACTCTTAAAAATTTGCTGGTAATCAATTTACGGATTTTTTTTTGTAATAAAAAATTCTGTAAAGCATTGAAAACTATTTTTTTTCCGATCTGATTCCGGTTGGAAGTTATCTTACTTGATCCCTTTAAATTGTTTTTATTTTTATTTTTTTGTTGCTTTCAGATTTGTTTGGCAGTGGGTGTGTTGTACACCATAATTCTGATTGGATTTAGGCAATAAGAATTAAACATTGATTTAAGGCATGGTGTAACAATTGTGCTTACTGCATTGTTTGTCTAGCTTTATGTTGTTGTTTTTCTTGTTCATTCATTAGCTAATTGACTGCACCACTTTCTTGTGTACTGCCACTGATAAAAAAAGTATTATGTCAAATGAATATTATTATTATCATTATTATTATTATTATTATTATTATTATTATTATTATTATTATTATTATTATTATTATTATTATTATTATTATTATTATTATTATTTATTTATTTTAACGTTGATCCGGATCTGGGTGAAATACGTACCCGTACACGGAAAACAGACAGGTGGTCGGTACACTTTTAGGTTCCTGTTGAGGGCGCTCAATTAATAAAAAATAAAAAATAAAACAAACAATAATAACATCAATGAATACACAGTGTACTGTATTTGTTGAGAAGGGAAAGAGTCTTTGGCACCTTGCGGTAGTAGGCTAGTTGGCAACGAATCTGAGTAAACCTTGGCCCACTGTATGTTCTGGTACGTCGACATGTCTTATTTTAAATTTTCTGTGTTTTTTTCAGTGGCATGTGTTCACTACTACTGTGGGCCTAGCTAGGCCATAGGGTCTAGCTAGGCCTAGGGTAGGCCTAGCCTTGGCCTTTTTTGTCATGAACCGTGGTACTACTAGGCCTAGGCCTAGTACTAGCTAGACTGGTCGAAACCTAGGTAGGCCCTACTTCTCGATAGCTTCCTATGCATTTATACAGATCTCCTAGACCTAGGCCTAGACTAGAGCGAGGGCGGCGGGATAGGGCTAGACTTTAGTCTGGACCTTGTCCACTAGGTTCAGACCTAGGCCTAGGTCAATTTAAACATGAAACTGGTGCTTGTTTAATTTAAATAATATTCTGTGAAACTTATTTGCTGGCTGTGTAAACTAGGCTGTAGGCCTAGATGTGTTTTATTCATTGTTTTATCCTTTGTTATTCACGCACTGGGGTAGGCCTAGGTTTCGAGTCTCAAACATCGCAATGTTTTGGGCTCGATGCTGTAGACAACAGCCCTATGCGTGCGAGCACGTACGACTAACCTGCACGATGTAGTCTGGTTCGCTGAACCTCCTGCAATTGTACGCCATGACCCAGGGACCAGGATAGGCTAAAGGTACATTATATTTTATCAATTCGTTAAGATTCTAATCCTGAGGGTACATTGACAATCTATTTTCGAACGCAAAATAGCAAATGAGGTCAGGAAGAATCCTAAAAGTTTTTGGAATTACGTAAAGAGCTGAACAAAAATTAAAAGTTGTATACCAGACCTGCAAGATGCAAATGGAGAATTAGTACTACAGATAGAAAAAAGGCTGAAGTCTTAAATGAGTATTTTGCTAGTGTTTTTACTAAGGAGGACACATCCTCTATACCAGCTTTGATCCCTCGGGCTATTACACAGACTTTAGACAGCGTTGTTTTTGATATATATGAAGTGGAAAAAGAATTATAAAATTTAAACATCTTTAAATCACCAGGGCCAGATGGCATCCCCTCAAGAGTTTTAAAAATGTAAAGGAATGTAAAGAAGAGATATCTAAAACCCCTGCAACAAATTTTTTCAAAATTATTTGCAGAAGGAATACTTCCACGGTCATGGAAGCAGGTGGATGTAATAACAATCTATAAAAAAGGGATAAAAAAAGATCCAGCAAACTACCGTCCAGTTAGTTTAACATCTGTTGTAGGAAAAATCATGGAGACCATCGTCCAAAATCGGATAATGCTGCATTTAGAAAATAATCTAATAAATGATGACCAGCATGGCTTTCGTAAAGGGCGATCTTGTCAAACTCAATTGCTAGGAGTTATGGAAATATGGTCGAAAGCATTAGATGAGGGAAACAGCATTGATTGTGTGTATCTAGATTATCGAAAAGCATTTTACAGCGTCCCACATCTTAGGCTTCTGGAAAAATTATAATCTTATGGAATTGATGGAAGTTTACTGAAATGGTTAAGATGTTTTCTCATTGGTCGTTCTCAAAGAGTTTGTGTAAATGGAGTTCACTCAACGAGTAAACCTGTAACTAGTGGAATCATTTATATAAATGACTTGCCGGAGTCATTAAGGTGCAGCACTAAACTCTTTGCTGACGATACTAAAATTTTTTCAGTCGTATTTAATGCACATGAGGCAAACCTTCTACAGAATGATCTAGAGGAAGTTTGGAAATGGTCAGTGAAATGGCAAATGCCTTTTAACAAAGAGAAATGTAAAATAATACATTATGGAAAACATAATAAATTTTTTAAGTACACCATGGGAAACACCACAAATAAAATGGAACTCAAGGCGGTAAATGCAGAAAATGACTTTTGGGTGTTATTCGACAAGTCGCTAACATTTTCGGATCACATTGCAGATATTGCAAAAAAAGCAAAAACTGGGTATAATTAATAGAACATTCACATCCTTGGACCAGAATAGTTTGCTTTTATACAGAGTATTGCAATATAATTTGGAGTACCTGCTTCAAAAAAGATGAAGATGCTCTGATAAAAGTTCAGCAAAGGCCCACAAGGCTTTTTCCTCAAATTCATCATCTTCGATACAATGAGAGACTAAGACATCTGAATCTACCAACCTTAACATACAGAAGGAAAAGAGCAGATATGCTGCAAATATTTAAAATTATCCGGGGGTGTGATAAGGTTCAATTTAGCGATTTTTTAAAAAGAAATGAATGCACATCTACTAGAGGTCACCAATGGAAAATTCAGAAAGTTCATGTGAAATCTAAGTCTCAACAAAATGCATTTTCGTTTAGAACAATCAATTCTTGGAACGCTTTTACCAAACTCGATTGTGGATTCTCTTACAATCAACCAATTAAAAAACAGTCTACAAAAACACTGGTCAAACCATCCGCTCAAGTTCAATCCATACGCACCAAAAGAAGAGTCAAGAGGGACACATAAGCTATAAAAAAGCTTCACGTCTCTACATCCAGGTAGATCCAGGTAGGTAGACATTAGGGCAAATAGAAAAATTTATTAGATTATCACTCCATCCACGTCAACAATTCGGGAAATATTGATACAGAAATAAAAAAAAAAAAAATTTGCCGCATCAATTATTTCAACAGCCGTTAAAAATAACAATGCGATTTTGTGACTAAACTATAAAATTTAACCAGTTTTTATACAATATTTTCTATTATAGTACTAGCCAAATATAAAGAAAACACCCTCCCTCATCATTTTTTTTAAAGAGTTATAGTCTAATAATTTTTTCTATGTGCCCTTACAAATCTAATTTTAAATGCCAAGTGTTACATACTAGCCTAAATA